CGCTCTCCTGGGTCGAGCCACAGGGCAGCCGGGGGGTCCCATGAAAAACGGCCTTGCATTTGGGTCCATTTGGCCCCTGGTTCTCTGGTTCTGATTCGGTTCTGTTCTGAGTGGGAGTTGCCTCGGTTGAGAGCTCATTGATTGGCTCCCTTGCTGTTGGTGCGGAGGGGGCAGAGGGGATGGTATCTGACTTTTCAATCTGTTTCCGGCCTGCCGTCCTAATTCGTTTTTTGACTGCTTAAATTCCCTCGTGCGATCCCACGCCTGCGCTTGTCTGATTTTTTCTGCAGGGGAGAGATTAGGCCACATCGCAGCCATCATTAATCCCCCGGGCAGATCAGCTAAAAGTTTTTCCTGCTGGACCTGTGAAAGCCCTGCGATTGTTCCCAAACACCCAGCTAATGTAACTTTTCCTGTACTGATTTCAGAGCTTAAAGCCTTCCTCCGTCGTTCCCCAGAATCCTCACCAATCCCTCTGGGAGAACTCTCCGCCAGGGACATCAACGAGGCTCCTGGGGTTAAACGCAGATCGTTCTTTAATGCTATAACCTGAGAAATTTCTGGACTTGAAAGTTGTTCAATCGTCATACCTCGATCCTGAAGCCGCTGTACATACCCAGCGTCTGTCTCACCCGATGCTCTTTGTGGCAGAATGGTATGATCAAAATGTCCTAAGCTTACTCTTGAGTGTTCCTGAGCAGTTTGCCAATATGGGGAATATTCCTGTTCTAGGATTCTCTCTTTAGGCATTGAATTAAGCTGTCCTCCCTGCGGAGTGCTTCGGTTTACATCCAAAGGTTGGGAGGGGCTGCACGGCGAGTAGCAGTGAGTTTTCACTGCCGAATCTCTAGCCATACATCCACCTCGATAAAAATCATATCCTTGGCCTAAATAAGCATGCTTAAAAGGTTGCCCCCATCCTGGTTGCAACATGACTTCTTCCCTACTTTTTGCTGCTTGAATTGCTGAAGCCGTGAAGCCATCTACAGGGTACCAGTCTGGAAAAGGATTTTCTGCTTCTTCTCCTGCATAATTCTGGTCTCCCTCTGTATTAATTGCAAACTGGCCTCGTCCTGGTTCTGGAACCGGTCTAACTGGGCCTATGTTAGGAGGTGCCTGAGGGTCATAATATTTTATCTGTACTGGACGGCTTTTCTTATTTAGTCCTCTAATGCCATAAACCATAGGATTTGTCTCATCTCCTTTTTCTGCTCTCTGGGGTTGCTGCTCTACATTTTCTCTGTTCTCACCTTGCTCATGGGCTGTAACTGGGGATAACCAACTCACTTTTTCAGGTGTTTCGCCTCCAGGGATCCGAGTGCTGCATTTTTGATGGGATTCGCATTCTGACCTGAGCGTCCCTTTGGGTGTGCCACGCACCACCAGTTGGGAACCCTGTTCCTCCTCCGATTCAGCCTCACTCTCGCTGCTTCTGTCTCTGGCCTCAAACCAATGTTTGACTTTCTTCTCTACTCGCGGCAAGGCTGACTTATCCACTAAAATTACGACCGGGATGTCTCCTAACCTGCTAGAGGCTTCGGAATAAATCACCAAACCTGCACCATATGCTTCAGTTATCCGACACACCTGGGGTTTGTTATTAAGCTTAAACACTAGCCGTCGCGCTCCTAAATCCAAGGCTTCTGACACCACCCGCTCCCAAGCTTGGTGAAAAGAGATGTCGGGATTATGAGGGTCTACGTTAATTATGGAAATCGCGCTGACACGACCTTCCAGATTCCCTAATTGCTTGTCTAAGAGAGTAGTAATTTCTCCTGCTTCGTAATTACGATCTACCAGCGGAATCATAGAATTTCTGCCTTCTGCCCCTAAAAGTCTCCTCAGAGAACCTAAAGAGGACGTAGTACTGGCAGAACTTTGTGGATCTTTCAGAAAGATCAACACATCTTCTTCTCGGATCTCCGCATCTATTTTCTCGCCTGATAAAATTATCACCGGTTCTTGACCTATCATAACATGATTCGGAGGAGCCGCGGGACTATGCGGTTCTAACGGGGGAAACGGAATTGGGTTTGGAGTCCTTTCAGCCCCTGACCGTCTCTGAGTCTCGTCTTTGTCCCACGCAGCAACATGCTGTTCAGTGGGCGGTCTCTCCGCTCCTCTCATGGGCACCTGAGAAGGGGTTTGTACATGTAGAAACGGGTTCCACTGCGCCGGCCGAACCGCGTCAGGCGGGTTCGGTGGGGGTGGAGGAAATCCGCTCTCGGAACCGGGGCTCACAGGGAATTCCCCGCGGAGCGCTGGATACAAAGGGGGCGCGGTCGGAACCGATTGGACTTCATCCCAGGAGGCTGACATTTCAACTGCAGCTCGTCTCCGGTACATTTCCGCTTGGAGCTCCGTGATCCCCAGTCGGTTACATAACGCCTGTCTCATTTGAATTGCCTCATTTTTGCTTCTAGATAAGAAGTAAATTGTTCTACTATTAGCCCGTTGAACCACGAACTCCGCCATAGCAGAGTACATCGCTCCTTGATCACATCGGTACTGCCCGACTCCAAATGGAGTGAGAACTAAAGGTTCCGGTCCAATTGGTATTTGCTCAAGCAATCCCAGAAGGATCTCATATTGCTCGCCCGTGGGGAGTTTCGCTGGATTTTCCCAACAACACCACGCTAGCTGATTAAAAACAGGATCATTTTGTTGTTCTGCTAGAATCACCAAATCACCCACTAACGGAAATACATGATTATTCTTTACTTGAGTTTCAGCATTCGGACAGCGCTCCGCTGCGGCTTGAGCCGTTCCGGCCTTGTTATGAAAACTCCGGTTACAGGATACTGCCAAAACGCTTTGTGGTTCACCTTGAAATGTCGCTATTTCTCCGGTGACAAATCTCACATTAAGGAGAACATTTTCCGGTTTTACCGTTAAAGATCTATCTGCCATGGCTGGTTGAAAGTTTCTCTTTTTTTTTTATTATTTGTTTTATTTTTATTCGTTTTCACGTCTTATTCTTTATTTTTACTCTTTATTCCTTTTTATTTTTTGCCTAGCTTTTATCCTTGGCTTTTCTTACGTCGGAAAGCCGTGATTTCTTTATACCTCTTTGAGTTAATCGTCCGTTCTCCCAAATTTCCTTCCTTTTCGAGAAATTGGTGCGGTTTTCGCTCCAAGGTTATAAGCTTATCAGGTCCATAGTGCGTAAGCTTTTATCAGCCTAAAAGACATAGTTCTACGTCGAATAGTCCGGTATCTAATATTTAAACCTTCGCCGATTAGCCTCACGTTGCAGGCGCCATGTCGTGTGCCCGTCCCATTTACCGGTTCCTTTAAAACCCAGTTCCGTTAGAACTTATGAGACGGTGCATCCATCAGGGTTCGGGGGTGTATCGACGAGTATAATCGTACCAGACCCGGGTTTGGACTACCTAATTAGAATCTTGTCTTTTATTTTAAAGGTGAAATGACTTGCACGAATAGCCAGCCTCAGAGTGCTACACTTCTTTTAAACTCGTTACCTTTTGGTTAAGATACTAGAGAGAAGTCTGGAGGCAAGCCAAGCCTCTCAGCAATTGTTTGGGCTACCCGGAATTAATTGCGCCTCTAACAGCTTATGTGGGGGGTTGGTAACTATAAAATGATTTATGCTAGTTGATCAGGCTAACATAAGTTTATCAATTTATTTATTAATCCAACCTTCCAGCTGATTAGAGACTTTTTCAACCTGCAATCAGAGCCAAAATAACCTCGAATATTTTGCTTTTATCACCCTTAAGACAACTCGTTACTCGCAAGGGGAGAGAAATTAAAACTTCCCTTATCTTAAGGTTTCTTTATATTATTCTGTTATAAACTGTAAAGTAAGTCCTGATAATTCAGAGACCGATCTTCGACATGCTTACCTCTGTGCAATTATGGCCAGGGCTCCAAACGTGAAGCTTTAGAGAAAACCTGAAAGAATCAGGATTATGTTTCTTTTTCAAAAAAGGTTTATTACAAAATCAAAATACAAAAATGGGTAAAGTAAAAAACAACTGCTATCCCCCACGGAGGAATTAGTTCAAAATGATTAAATAAGAGTCAGTTTACACCAGCTCCTGTCTTCTCAGAATCTCCCCAAGAACTGAAGAACAAGACCCCTGCTCGATCTGAGCTGCATCCTTTTATATCATTTCTGAGACTGCTCTAAACAATGCAAGAGGCACAAGTCATTCTCTCCTGACAGTTTAGGTCAAGGGGTCATTCACCAGATACACTTTTTTAGCTCTACATAAGACATTTAGTATCATTTCACTACATGCAGTATTCACATGAGGGCACAAAAGTTACATTCTGCACTCCTGGAATGAGAGCACAGGTCATAAATCTTCATATTGGTAGCAAATTGTAGATCTTCTTTCAGCATTCCTGAGAGCTCCTGGGTCCAGCTGGACTTCTCCTCACTCCATGCCATTCCTTCTTTTCCCGCCAGAGGTGGAGTTAGGGGCGGGCCCAGGGGTGTGTCCATGGGTGGATCTAGAGAAGACAGCTTGTCTTTTGACCCTTTGCCTAGTTCTGTCCTCACCAGCAAGTCCTGAACTCCTGTCCTCTTGACCCTTGTGTGACCCTTGTCTCTGACCACTGTTTCTAAGCCTTGACTGGTTGCTCGGGCTTGCAACAGGCAAGGATCAGCAGAGCCAGTGGATGAGCTCATGGAGAGTTCTAATGGGAAACAGGCTTCAACTCAAGTGGTTGTTTTCCGCTTGGTCCTAGTGCTCAACCAGTGTCTATTTGTGATAGAGTTTTTGGACAGTAAAAAGCGCAGGGGACAAAAATTGACTTTGGAAAAAGTGGGGGACACCCCCCCCCCCCCCCCCCCAAAAAAAAAGAAAAAAAACCACATCCGCCCATGGACTAAAGTCTTTTATTATCTGAGAGCTTGTGGTTCGGGTCTTTGGATGCCAGGTTGGGTCTGTATGTCCTTTTGGGTCACGTTACTGATGGACAAAAAAGGAAAACGGCATGACGTTCTTGCTCTGTCTTTTTCCCCCTTAAAGGAAATAAAAAGACTATCTAAGCTCATCAGTGAGCTCTCCATAGACTTCAACAGGAATCTGAATGAAGACAACACGTTCCTTGTTTTTTCTGAACAAGAGCTCGGTACGTTTATGCACATAATTATCTGATGAGGACAAACTTGAGTTGTTGTTTACGCTTGTTTTTTTAATCAAGCTGGACTTGCTGATAGCTACCTTAATGGTCTGGAGAAGACGACAGAGGGAAAGTATAAAGTGACGCTGGAATATCCCCACTACCACCCTCTGATGAAGAGGTGTCACAGTCCTGAGACCAGGAGGAAGATGGAAAGGGCTTTTCACAGCAGGTGCAAAGAGGTGACTTACACTTTATGTCCCTGTTGCAAAAAATACATGTACTAGTACCCTTGAATACTTGAAAATAGTCTCATGGTTTGGAAATCTTGTTAAGCGATCTCTAGTAATCCTTCTTCAAGCTTTTAGACAAATTGTTCACTTAAATATTTGCAGATTTTTCCCTTATTTGTCCATTTAGTCCAGTTTCAGAGGAATGCGTTTATATTTTTGTGAACTGCTATGAAACCTTTGAGGTCTGTGATGTTTTATGATGGCAGTGAGGGCAATAACCCAAAACAAACCTTTTCACTGATTACATGTTTCCCTTTTCACATTAATATTACATTTATAATGTTGAAAACCCATATTGCTCTCTTGCTGTTTGAGGTGTAGCTAGTAAAACACGGTATGTTGTCTTTCAGCCCAACAAAAGCAGGAGGAAAAGGTTTAGGAACAAGCAGCCAGACTGAGCTAAGAAGAGCTTTTGTTCTCTGGCCTATCACGCGACACTGAGCAGAACCTCCAGTAGCTACAAAAACAGACGCTTTACTATATAATGACATTTTATTTTGTCTTTCAGGTGAACACAGCAATCCTGGAACAGTTAATCCAACTGAGGGCAAAGGTCGCAGACTTACTTGGTTACAGCAGCCATGCCAACTATGTGCTGGAGGTTAACATGGCTAAAAATGCCACCAATGTGTCTGACTTTATAGGTACAACTGCTCCGACGTTCACCTCACAAATGGTCATTTATGGGTCATAGGTAGCAGCTGAAGTGTGTGTGTGTGTGTGTGTGTGTGTGTGTGTGTGTGTGTGTGTGTGTGTGTGTGTGTGTGTGTGTACTTGTATTTATAGGTTTATGTGGACAGATTTGAACTTTTAACCTGTAGTGTGTGGACATTTTCAAATTTTGAGGACATTGGGCTGGTCCACACAATGACAAAATACCCTAAAACGTGGTTTTAGAGATATGGTGTGAAATAACTTTTGTTTAGGTTAGGGTTAGGAATAGAACAGCATTGGTTATGGTTAGGATTGGGGTTTGGGTTAGGCATAATATAGTCACAAAAATGAATGGAAGTCAATGAAGGGTCCACACAAGCGCGCGCGCGTGTGTGTGTGTCCACACAAGCATATAAATACAAGTGTGTTGCTGCAAACAAGTCTTGTTGAGTAGAAACTTTTTAAAGCTTTAAGACTCCTGTAGATTTCACTGCTTTAACATTAATCTTCCATCTTTGACTAAGGTGCGGTTCACACGACAGAATTTTAAACATTTTGGACGTTTTCAAAACATAAGAGACCACACACGGTGATGAAAAATCACAGATACAAATTGTTTTGGTCCGACAGTGAGTGCTGTGGTGTGTAGCCACATGGCAAAAACTACCCACGAACCAATTTCACACACGAACGTTCCGCGATCAGAAGGGAAATCTCAAAAAACCTCAAGATAAAACGTGTCTTGCCAGCAAACAAGGCGGGGGAGGAGCATGCAGCATGTTTCCCTTTCTGATTGGCTGCACAGCAAATTCAGCAGGCAATGCATGCTTGTTTGTACATGTTGAAAATCCCCAAATTATGATAAGAGCTGTCCTGGAGTCCTTCCAAGCAGACCTGAGCACTCTTAAGTCACCACACATGGCAGGAATACTTGATAAGATTATCTTTAGGGTCAGTACAGCAATCTGGCACGTCCTTATGATTGTCAGAAATGGAGAATCAGGTCATACACTGGCAGGATTATCCCGCCGTGTGAACCGAGTCTATGCAGAATCCCTTCTCTGTCTGCAGATTCCATCCATGAGAAGCTGAAGCCGATTGGCATCAAGGAAAGGAAATATATTCTTTCCCTGAAGAAGAGGGAGTGCTTGATGAAGGGTTACCAGTTTGATGGGCAGATCAACGCCTGGGACTTGCCCTACTACATGAACCAAGTAGAAGAGTGCAAGTTTGCTGTGAACAAGGACAAGCTGTTAGAATATTTCCCCCTGGAGGTGGTGACAGAGGGGCTGTTTGGGATCTACCAGGAGCTACTGGGCCTGGCGTTCACCGAGGTCAAGCATGCTAATGTGTGGCATGAAGACGTTAAACTTTACTCAGCTCACGACACTGAAACGGGGGAGGAGATCGGACAGTTCTACATGGACTTGCATCCAAGGTAGATTTTGTACAAAAAATTTTTGTAGATGCATGAATGTTTGTAGGATACGACCAGCTAACCTGTAAAAAACTGGAAAACTTTGCTGAAGCATCAGCGATTTTTGTTCTGCTCTGTTGAAATGTTCAGACTGTGACTTTCTGCAGGGAAGGTAAATACGGTCACGCTGCTTGCTTTGGGCTCCTGCCTGGCTGCAGAGGACCTGATGGAGAGCGCAGACTTCCAGTGGCAGCCATGGTGGCCAACTTTACAAAGCCCAGGAAAGGCTGGCCCTCTCTGCTTCAGCACCACGAAGTGGAGACGTATTTCCACGAGTTCGGCCACGTGATGCATGAGCTCTGTTCTAAGGTGCTCCTCTGTACTCACAACTAGGAGTTTGAGTCGTGCTTGTTAGATGGCAGATGCTAACGTGTGTATGTGTGCGTGCGTGCACATGTATCAGACCATGTTTTCAGACTTCAGTGGAACGCTGGTAGAGACAGATTTTGTGGAAGTTCCATCTCAGATGTTGGAAAACTGGGTTTGGGAAAAGGAGCCTCTAAGAAGAATGTCTTGCCACTACAAGGATGGGACACCCATCCCAAACAACTTGCTGGACAAGCTGATAGCTTCTAGAGTAGCCAACACTGGTGAGACGTTGACACTATCTGTGACAGTTAAATAAACGTTGCGAGTGTCTCTGCTGATGAGCTCACCTGCTCTTCAGGTCTGATGAACCTGCGCCAGGTTGTCCTCAGTAAAGTGGACCAGTCTCTTCACTCCAGTGCACAGGCAGATACCGCTGAAGTGTTTGCAAAGTACTGTCAGGACATCCTGGAGGTTCCTGCCACACCTGGTCAGTTCTAACATTAACAGGAGTAAGATCACATGACAGAGCCAAGGATTAGCCACAGACATATTATTCACGGGACATTTTTACTTAATTAAATGTAATAAATATGAATGATTATAAACAGATTTAATCATTTTATCCTCATGTTTATAGTTTATTTGCATGAGGGTTTGCCTTTTGTTGTGCAACAGAGTATTTTTCTTGTCTTTCGTGGGAAATTTGGAACACATCAGTCAGAGATAAAGACCAGCAAACACAATCCACACATGTCAGCTTCATGTTATCACAGAATTTGAGTAATTTTATTCTATTAAATAATTTGATTTAGATAAAAACTTGCACTTATTGTCTGTAGTGCTTAGATTTCCCCACTAGAGGGCAGAAGATATTTGTAGGAAGGAAAGTAAGAGGAAGAGGTTGTAGAAATCGGTTCAGATTTCATAAAAGCATTCAAAAGGGCTTTTGTCTAAGAAATCTGATATTTGGTTCAGGTTTTGGAGCTCACTATGTACATGATTTGTATTTTTGCTATTACAAAGTTGTACTTTGTAGTTAAGCAAGATGATTAAATACTTGAATAAGTCTATGTTTCTGATGATCAGTGGATAGATGAAGAAGGAGGTGCAAAAGGTCTGGGTGGGGTGGCCCTGCTGGACCTTTTCATTGAAGTATGTGAAAATTCTGTTTAAGTAGGCGATGTCAAAAGAAAACTTAAACACGGGAAACAAATTCAGGTACATAAACTACTAATCAGGAGTGATTTCAGCCATTAACTTAGGTGAGGTTAAGGTGCAATTTAAAGATATACAAGTAGGGGGGTAGCTGGGGGTCCAAGGCTCTACAGCAGGGGGGCAATTGCCCCCTTAAATCTTCTTTAGATCTGCCCCTGCTCAAGTCAGTGTGTGTGTGTATTTTCAGTTAAACTATACATTTTTACATAAGATGATAATTTAAGAGGCTTGACTCAATGCATTTCAAACAGTATGAGTTAATTATTTGTAAATTCTATTGCTAGTATTTCACTTCAGGTAATCCAACGATACTTTAGGTTTTGTTTTTCTTTTCTTTTTTGTATGGAATGAAAACAGATATTTGCTTGTTTGTCTGCAGGCACCAACATGACTGCTGGTTTCAGCCACTTGGCTGGAGGTTATGATGGTCAGTACTACAGCTATCTGTGGAGTGAGGTCTACTCAATGGACATTTATTTCAGTCGTTTCAAAAAGGAAGGCATTATGAATCCAAAGGTTGGTAAGCTGCATTACATCTCATCATTTCTCTTTGAGTTGGTCTAATTGTGTGTAAATGTATCTTGTGTACAAACACAACAGGTTGGACGAGAGTACAGAAAGGTGATCCTGGAAGCCGGGGGCTCCGCGGATGGAGTGGACATGCTGAAAAGCTTCCTTGGACGTGAGCCATGTCAAGATGCATTCTTTAAGTGCAAGGGACTAATGAACTGACAGCAAGCTGCACACATATTGTAATTAGAGTTTAAGCTATAAAAATAATGATTGATTTCCAAAACTTTTAATACATTTTGTGATTGGAGTTGTTTGATACCATAAAGAACATCGACTGAGAAAGAATTAACTCCAGTTTTGCCAGTTCTACACATTTTCTGCTCCCGCAAACCAGAATCCAGTGTTTTAATCACCTCCTGACCACACTGACTGCTGCAGTAGCCTGTTAAATCACTTAAATCTGGTGAATTTGGATCAAGGACATAGCTAAAATGAGCATCATGGTAGCTCTCAAGGACTAGAGTTGGGGACCCCTGATCTAGTGGAAATCTCAGAAGTACACAAAGTGAGACTTTTACCAATCTGCAGTCCCTAACACCTTCAAAGAATTAGATGAATAAAGTAAAGGATAAGAATACAGACACTGGTGATAAAAAGTGTGTCAGATACTGCAATGATTAAAATATAATTATTATATCCAGATAAATTACTTGTCACAGATATGACCACCCCTGCCTTTCTCATTCCCTCATTCACACAGTCAATGTTGGTTTATTATTTGTCATATTAACCTCAAGTCTTACCTGTAGCGGTTGCTGTGAAATGTGTTTATTTGTTCAAATTTTAGAAGATCATAATGTTCAAAACAATGTTAAAGAAATGTCTATGTTGTGTTATTGCCACCTGCTGGCAGAGCTGAGTATTGCGCTTTGGGCAGACGATCTTTTAAAGCACACAGACAAAAAAACTCAAGCTGGAAAACAAACCAAAGGCAAAATAAAAAGTGAATAAAGCAATAAATGGGCATTATGAACTGCACTTACTCTTGAATGTTTGGTAGAAATGAACACACCATGAGCTTGTGTTTATTCTGAGTATTAAAAGGGAAATAATTTAAAGAGCAAGTCACCCCAAATCAACTTTTTTTGCTGATATATATAAATGAGCGTCTAATCGTGCTGTTGACACGTGTAGTCAATAATTTGGCGCTTTAGTGCGTCTTTGTTGAAATTTCCAATCCAATTTTATTTATAAAGCGCATTCACAAGGCATTACAACCAAACAAGGCGCTGTACACTAAAAATGTTGGTTAATTAAACCGGCGTTATACAAACATGTCGAACACAGATAAAAGATAAAAAGGAAATACAACAAAATTCCCAAAAATAACAGCTAAAAATCAATAAGACACAGGGTGAATAAAATAGGAAAAAACATTTTACAAAGAACCTCAATAATACGGAAGTCGATAATTGTGGAGTCCATTTTTAAACAGTGCAGATGTCAGTGAGGTCCATAATTATGTTGTATAAGCTAGGTTGAAGTAGTGAGTTTTCAGGCGTGATTTAAAAATGCTAGCTGTTGGTGCTTGCCTCACTAGCAGTGGTAACGCGTTCCACAGCTTCGTTGCACAGACAGAGAAAGCCCTCTCTCCACGGCTTTTTGGAACATTTAGGAGGAGCTTATCTTCAGACCTGAGAGCACGCGGCAGGTTGTAGTAATGGACAAGTTCACACAGATATGGAGGAGCTTGATGGTTCAAGGATTTGTAAGTGAGAAGCATAATTTTGAAGTTTATCCTGAACTGCACGGGCAACCAGTGGAGAGATTTCAGAATTGGAGAAATGTGTTGTCTTCTGTCAGCTCCAGTCAGCAACCTAGCTGCTGAATTCTGGACCAGCTGAAGTCTAGAAAGAGCTGCTTTACTGATGCCGTATAAGCAGGAGTTTGAGTAATCCAGCCTTGAGGTGATAAAAGTGTGGACCACCGATTTACCACCAGGATTTACCACCAGGATTGGATTGGATCTTTGTTGAAATTTAAATATTCTGCCTATATCTGTCTGTTGCACCCTCTGTAGGTAAAAACTACGCTACCTGGCCTGGGCCGACCCGGTACAGATGGGAATGGCCCATAAGATGTATACTATGACATCAGCTAGTACCATATGATGTCACAATGTTGTGAGCCTGTGTGTACTTGTTAGCGGTTCTGCCTTCTCGGTCTGCCAGCCAACTGCATTTGTTGCATTTTTCAAACAGGAAGTTGGAGTGGAGTAAGACTCTGGTAAGGGGTTACTTGCTCTTTAGATGGTTGTTTCTGAGTTGTAGTCGTTTTTGAACTGGCAAGTAGAAGATACGTATGCACATCGCCCCTTCAAGAATTTGTTTCACCATTTGCACTGGTACTGGATAATAAAAACTGGTCAATGATTTAACTTTTATTATTATTATTATTATTATTATTATTATTATTATTATTGCCAGAGAAATTACAGTTCACATTAGAGAAATGTGACAAAGTCAAGTCATGCAAAGGGTTTAATTCCTTGCAATAAAATGTACTTACAGCAGGGGGCGCTCTAAGGTAACATTGGGCCAAATGTTGCAGGCAAAAAGTGTTTATATGTAAATGAGAACTTTAAATGTCTTTCTACTGCTCAATTTGTTGAGCTGCTGTTTTAATTCTGCATAGAGACGCGTTTTAAAGGGTAACCTCCGTTCCGGGCGGCCGTGGACAGTCGGGGCCAATCGCTGACGCCGTCTGGGAGAGAGAGCGAAGCATCGTCGAGGGGCTCTGAGCGATGGTGGGAGAGCGACTTTCTGATGAGCTGCCTTTTGCGTGTAGAGGTCGCAGAGAAGAAATCTCCCCTTCTGAGCTCCTCCAGCCTCCGTGTAGCTCACTTCCACCACAGCTGCGCCTTTTTTTGTCACTGATTAAACACGGAAAGAACATGACTGAAAACATCTGGGCGCGACAGACTTCAGAGGAAAGGCTTTCCCTCGTTCCGAGGTCGTTTTTGCCTTTTGTATTTCCTTGATAAATTCTCGTGGACATTTTGGATCTTCTTTAATGTTCCGTGATATTGTTCGGATCGGATACGGAGGATTTTTGCTCCGGTTTTTTGGCTGTCCCGAGTCACTGGGAAGCTAAGACTTTGAAGTGTTTGGAAACAGCTGGAGACGTTAAGGAACTTGAGGGCTTGCGGGGGAGAAATGTGCGCACTGGGCCACCTTCGAGCAGCTCTTTAAGTGGGCAGCCTTAGCTAACGGCTAACCTAGCCAAACTCCCATTTTAACCAACAAACCGACTCTGTGAGGATAGCAAATGCTTTCGTCCTGAAAACATTATTTGTATAACTTCACATTTTTCTCCACTAACTGGACATCAGTTCATGCCCCACGGAGTCGACGTGAATTGAGGTAAGTGTCTTTGTTTGCGCAAGTTCTCGCAAAATGCTAACGTTGGTGCTAGCTGCGCCGAAGCGTTCTGGTCCAACGCCGATGCTGTCCGACTTGAGTTTGACTTCTTATTTTAATCATTTTAAACTACAAAACTGTTCCGTTAAGTTCTCATAAAAATGCTGATGTTTGGTGATAATTTAGAGCTCATTTGTAGCTTAATGACACTGGGTTATGGCTTATGTATCAGCTTTTGGCTGTGTTTTTATCAGATCCACATCTGTGCTCGGCTGCTGCTTTGCTTTGTAGCTGTTTGCTGTCAGTCAGCCATCCATCCATCAGTTTCAACGCTGTGTTGAAAGCTGTCACCATGTTTAATGTCACCCACACCAACAGTCATTATTCCAATAGCTTGTAGCGAAAGTGTTTGTGGAGGGGGATTACAGTCGTCGTGCTGTACGTGTTTTTACTTTCATCACGTTACTAATCAGATTACTTAGAAAAATAGAGATTAATCGATTTTTTTATCTTGATTTTAAATGGGTCAGGCTTTCTGAGGTAAATGTTCCCCTCTTTTTGTTTCAGTCTGATGCTTTCAGATGTAAACGCTGAGAGTGTGTAGCAGATTGTGACCCACATTTGTGTGTTTTAAAAATAAAAATACCACACACCTGACTGCTGTTGAGAAGGGACGTGTAGTCAGAAGATGCAGGACCTGTCTGCGTGTGAATCAGATGATTCTTACAGACAACTTTAAACTGAAGCTTTTCATTTGATGCCTAGCTTATCAGCTTGTTAACAGATTTGGCTTCACAGACCATCCTTACTCTAATGTAAACAAAGACATGGAGCTATCAGCTGCAACTTGTTAAGGGATAAAATCTTTGACCTGATGAGTCAAACTCAGATAAAGTAGTAAGTTCCAGTGGGAAAATTAAATGTATCAAAACAGTAAATAAATTGGCAGTATTTACTCCAGATCACATTGCATGTTACTGAAGTCAATAACATTGATTGTGTTCTGTCCAGCATAATTAGATGGATTAATGTTTAGATTAGAACATTGATTTAGAAATGTTTGTACAGGCCCTTCTCAAAAAATTAGCATATTGTGATGAAGTTTGTTATTTTCTGTAATGTACTGATAAACATTAGACTTTCATATGTATTAGATTCATTACACACAACTGAAGTAGTTGAAGCCTTTTATTGTTTCTAAAATTGATGATTTTGGCATACAGCTCATGAAAACCCAAAATTCCTATCTAAAAAAAATTAGCATATCATGAAAAGGTTCTCTAAACGAGCTATTAACCTAATCATCTGAATCAACTAATTAACTCTAACACCTGCAAAAGATTCCCGAGGCTTTTAAAAACTCCCAGCCTGGTTCATTACTCAAAACCACAATCATGGGTAAGACTGCCGACCTGACTGCTGTCCAGAAGGCCATCATTGACACCCTCAAGCAAGAGGGTAAGACACAGAAAGAAATTTCTGAACGAATAGGCTGTTCCCAGAGTGCTGTATCAAGGCACCTCAGTGGGAAGGAAAAAGTGTGGCAGAAAATGCTGCACAACAAGAAGAGGTGACCGGACCCTGAGGAAGATTGTGGAGAAGGACCGATTTCAGATCTTGGGGGACCTGCGGAAGCAGTGGACTGAGTCTGGAGTAGAAACATCCAGAGCCACCGTGTACAGGCATGTGCAGGAAATGGAATACAGGTGCCGCATTCCCCAGGTCAAGCCACTTTTGAACCAGAAACAGCGGCAGAAGCGCCTGACCTGGGCTACAGAGAAGCAGCACTGGTCTGTTGCTCAGTGGTCCAAAGTACTATTTTCGGATGAAAGCAAATGTTACATGTCATTCGGAAATCAAGGTGCCAGAGTCTGGAGGAAGACTGGGCAGAGGGAAATGCCAAAATGCCTGAAGTCCAGTGTCAAGTTCCCACAATCAGTGATGGTCTGGGGTGTCATGTCAGCTGCTGGTGTTGGTCCACTGTGTTTTATCAAGGGCAGGGTCAATGCAGCTAGCTACTCCATGCTTCCATCTGCTTAAAAGCTTTATGGAGATGAAGATTTCATTTTTCAGCACCACCTGGCACCTGCTCACAGTGCCAACACCACTGGTAAATGGTTTACTGACCATGGTAGTACTGTGCTCAATTGGCCTGCCAACTCTCCTGACCTGAACCCCATAGAGAATCTGCGGGATATTGTGAAGAGAGAGTTGAGAGACGCAAGACCCAACACTCTGGATGAGCTTAAGGCCGCTATCGAAGCATCCTGGGCCTCCAGAACACCTCAGCAGTGCCACAGGCTGATTGCCTCCATGCCACGCCGCATTGAAGCAGTCATTTCTGCAAAAGGATTCCCCACCAAGTATTGAGTGCATAACTGAACATAATTATGTCAAGGTTGACTTTTTTTTGTATTAAAAACACTTTTCTTTTATTGGTCGGATGAAATATGCTAATTTTTTGAGATAGGAATTTTGGGTTTTCATGAGCTGTATGCCAAAATCATCAATATTAGAAACAATAAAAGGCTTGAACTACTTCAGTTGTGTGTAATGAATCTAATATATATGAAAGTCTAATGTTTATCAGTACATTACAGAAAATAATGAACTTCATCACGATATGCTAATTTTTGAGAAGGACCTGTAAAGGGGTTCGCAACTTGGCGTCTGTGACCCTCCAAGGAGATTTCCACAATTTAGTCTGTGCCTAGGTTGTGAGGTAACTAAGATTATATTTGTAAAAATAACATTTATAAAATATCAATCATAAGTCTGTAACAGTTTTATAACATTGTGTTTCTGTATAAAGATTGTAAAGGGTCTGGAACCACTGATTAACTGGATTTGTCTCAGTCTTAAGATCTCCACTGATCAGAACTTGTTGAGAAAATAGACTCAATCCTTTTGCAAAACAGAAACTTGGTGCATGTCCATTGAGGTACTGAAATCCAGTGTTTGTATTCATACTTCTGTTTAAGATCATCGTGTGATCATTTACAATACTCTCCTGACTAAAGAGAAGATCCACAGTAATGAAATTCCTTCTACCACACCCTTTTCTCACAGCCGTGTGTTGTGTGATCTGGAAATGGAAACAAACACTTGACAAAAGAAGCTGAGTTCATAAAAATGTGTGCGTTTACATGCAGCCAGTAACCCTTTTAAAACCCGAATATTCACAATAACCCGGTTCCGCAGGTCCGTGTAAACACCGCCAAAAACCCGGATATGCTCATAACCGGGTTTTTAAAAACCCGGTTACTACACCCGGGGTAACCCTTTTCTAACCCGAATGTTTGGTCGTGTAAACGCATATCGGGATATCCCCATCAAAGCGTGTGTTCTGTGCATGCTCTGTTCGCAAGGAATCTTGGTCTTTTGAGTAGCGAGACGTCTTGTATGTGCCAGAACACCAGAAGTAAACAAGTTGGGAGCAACATGGCGAGTCGCGGCACAGCACCACACTTTTGGAGTGACGAGGAAACCTCTGTCTTCATCGGTCTGGTGAAAAGTCTTTTGTTGACGGCCGAAAGTACAGAAACAGCGAAATATGACGCATATTACGTCTGGACGTAGTCCACACGTCCTGACGCTACCCCAACGTCCGCATTTAAATCGGGTTATGCAAGTTAGGGGTAACTCTTTCTATTTATGCTTGTAAACGGGTTATTCTGATCAACTCAGAAACCCGAATACCGACCTTAACCCGATCATAACCGGGATATTGGCTGCATGTAAACGTAGTGAATGTTACCTGGGCCGTTAAGGCTTCCCTCAAAGTAATCTTTCCTCTCTGTGTTTTCTCCCAGTGCCATACTTAAAGTTGAACTAATAAAGTGGAGCGTAATAGCTCAGCTCTGTTTTATTTTACGCTCTTCTTTGGATTTATGTGTTGGCCATACATTTTAATACCCTTCTGAAATAGCATCTTTACTACCAGTGTGTTTCTGCTGAAGCAGAGACGTTAAAGCGGTGGGATATCAGACGTGTGGAATTTCTGGACTTTATGTTCTGCTTTGTTGTTTCAACCACTACAAGTCAAGATATGTTAGTCATGGGATATTTTCAACTTTTTGTTTTGTTTTGTTTTCTTATACACCTGTCTGTGGGTAACCACTCATGTTCTCTTTAGCAAGTAAATCCAGGAACTGACCCTTGCTAGTCCAAAGAGCACATGCTCCGTGACTAAATCCTCGTGCAATATTGGTGATGATTTTAGGGTGGGGAGTGGAAAGGTCATTTATGCTGCACAGTCTAAGATAAGTCATCTAGAATGTCCCATAAAAGTGTGATAATCCATATCCTGTAATAAAACACCATCTCTTTTTATTGTTTTTAGTTTTCAGGCTTTTCCTCTGGGATGTATGAAGTTGCTGTTGAATAAAAGTTCAGTTCTATTATCTTTTAAAACAGTAAAAAGTCCAACCAACTGGTAATAATGAGAAAAGATTGACTTCCCTCATTTTAGAAGCATTAAAAGTCCTGTAAACACTGTTTTAATGTAAAAATAGCATCTTCATCAGTATCTGTTCATCGTCATCACTGGTTTCCATGCGATTAGAATCTTTTTGCACAAACATTTTCAGTGAAATGCTCTTTAGTCCAGTTGCAACTCTAAATAAGGGAGTGCAGTATGGAAAAGTGTTCTATCACTATATTATTTTTCATATCAGTCAATATTGAAATATTTAGCAACATTAAACAATTAGCTTTTTTGTCAATCTTTGCAGTCACCCTTGTCGGGGATTGTAACGTTTTATATTATGCTTCTCCAGCAGGGGGTGCTGGTTCAGGTGGTCAAAGTGACTGGCAGTATTCCCTGACTTTGTTGGACCACACGCTCAAAATGATTGGTGTTGCAGCTGCTTTGATTTTTTGTCCGACTTTAAATCGCTAAAATCTATCCACAGGACTGAACTGTTCCTCAGTCAGTGATTGCATTTGCTGCGTCATCCATCTTCACTTCTTTTGGAGCAAACAGTTTGTCTTTTTTTCCTGTT